TGATAGAGCATAGATTTTAAGAAAATCTTCACAAATTTTGTAAGATTGAAATTTTGTAACATTGAGATTTTGTAACTTTGAAATTTTGTAACATTGAGATTTTGTAACTTTGAAATTTTGTAGCATTGAAATTTTGTTACATTGGAATTTTGTAACATTGGAATTTTTTAACATTGAAATTTTGTAACATTGAGATTTTGTAACTTTGAAATTTTGTAAGATTTAAATTTTTTAACATTGAAATTTTGTTACATTGGAATTTTGTAACATTGGAATTTTTTAACATCGAAATTTTGTAACATCGAAATTTTGTAGCATTGAAATTTTGTAGCATTGAAATTTTGTAACATTGAAATTTTGTAGCATTGAAATTTTGTAGTATTGAAATTTTGTAACATTGAAATTTTGTAGCATTGAAATTTTGTAACATTGGAATTTTTTAACATTGAAATTTTGTAACATTGGAATTTTTTAACATTGAAATTTTGTAACATTGAAATTTTGTAGCATTGAAAAAAAAATTTGAGTTAGTTATTTGAAAAAAATAGCTAAAATTTATTATAGTCTATTTAAGAGTATTCCAAAGAAATATTTTTTATCTTACAAATTAACACTGAAATAGAAGAATTTTAAAATAGTAGAATTTTAAATAGATAGAAAAATTTTGACCTCCAAGAACGCATTTAATTAAAAGTTTTTAAGACTATCCCATCGTTGTCTGTCTAATGAATTTATGTGTGTAACATTCCTAACGGGAATGATCCAGGAATTCGAACGTCGATTATATCTCCCATGAAGTTTCTAAAGGAAAAAAAGTTTTTAAGAAACACGAATGTGATACTTTTTTCCTTTTACCGTCTCTGACAATACTTTATGACACTGCAGATTTTATATTATACGTAATAAGATGGTAACCCTGTTCGCAACAAGCTTTACTTTTTCCGCTTACAGGCGAACCGAACATAATTCTTTCCTTTCCAATCGACAATTCGCAATTTCACCGATTCCATCGTGATCGTAAAATCGTCCTCGAACTTTTTCACGATCCTCTGCACTCGTTACTTTCGTTTTACGAGTGGATTTTGCAAAACCGTCAGTGCAAATTGGAGGCTTAATTGGCCACGGAACTGGCTGACTGTTAATTAGTTCCATAATGAACTTTTTCGAAAATCTACAAAAAACGAGATATTACAAGAAATTTTAATTTTTTGCTTATGTTCATGCTTTTCTTGCAACAGATCTTACAACAGATGAATAAAAATACTTCTTAATTTACAAATTACCAGTAAACATCTTTTACAATGTGCAATTTTAATAAATTGTAAAATGAACTTATTCTGATGTTTATATATTTAAAAAATTATGTAGTTGAAATGTAAAAGGATAATAAATAAAAAAAGTCTTAACAAATAATTAAAAAAAATTTAACTTAACTATTAATCTTTTAATATGTACAATTTTAACAAATTATAAAATGAATTTTAACTGATATTTATATAAATAAAAAGCAATATAGTTGAGATGTAAAAGAGTAATAAATAAGAAAGTCCCTTAACGAAGATCTAAAAAAATCTAACCTAATCATTAAACACCTTTCAACATTTACAATTTTAACAAATTGTAAAATGAATTTTAACTGATACTTATGCACATAAAAAACAAAACAGTTGAGATGTAAAACAGTAATAAATAAGAAACTCCCTTAACAAACCAAAAAAAAATCCAACAAAAAATCTTTTAATAAACAACCCGTCTGATTACTAAAATACGAGTATCATCGTAATAAAATATTGTTCAAAAAGAATATTAGCGACGGTATCCCTAATATTATTCACCGTCATGTATAACATTCTCTTTTTGGGCCACATACTCCATATTACCGTCGAACCGGTTAATGAGTAAGTTAACGAGGAACGAGCAGAGGCAAGTTAAAAAGTAACGAGGTCTCTGTGTACGGACAGCTTAATCGAGCGTATAATTTCGGAGTAACAAGCGGTTTCGCGCGCGAACAACCGTTTTGTCGAAAGGAAATTCCGCGCGAGCTGCGGGCTGCATTGTAGCGCGATGCAAATAGCATGAAAACTCGAGTCGTCCTTCGGTCACGAAAGGTACACGTTGGTGCTTCGTTGGATAATAAATTGTTTAGCGGGTAGGATCGTGTGCGTGGAGGGAATCCCCCTCGGGTAATTGGATCCAACCACGAAGGAAAAGTAAAGAATTAACGGTGGCCGCGTGGGGGTAGCTAAAGGTATGTTTTCACGTGACGCTCAAAGTCATGGCTTGAGTTGTCGTGACATTGTAACAACTTCGGACGTTTTCGCGCCATTTTATAGGATGCACTTATGTCATATTTTAGACACGTTTTAGACATTCGTTTTAGATATATATATGTGTTCTTTTAGTATGGGTATTTAGAAATTTGTGAATTTAGGATTGAGGGTATGGAAATTTAGGAATTTGGGGATATAAGGATTTAAGGAAATGGGAATTTGGGGATAGAGGGATTTGGGGATAGAGGGATTTGGGGACAGAGGGATTTGGGGATAGAGGGATTTGGGAATAGAGGGATTTGGGAATAGAGGGATTTGGAGATATAGGGATCTCAAGACGTAGGTATTTGGGGATATAGGAATTTGGGCATATAGACATTTGGGGACGTTTGGATTTCAGAGCGCTTGGATCTGGGGACGTTGGAATTTGGGGGTCGTTGGGATTTGAGAACGTTGGGATCTGGGGACGTTGGGATTTGAGAACATTGGAATTTGGGGACGTTGGGATCTGGGGACGTTGGGATTTGGGGTCGTTGGAATTTGGGGGTCGTTGGGATTTAGGGACGTTGGGATTTGGGGACGTTGGGATTTGAGGACGTTGGGATTTGAGAATGTTGGGATTTGGGGACGTTGGGATTTGAGAACGTTGGGATCTGGAGACGTTGGGATTTGAGAACGTTCGAATTTGGAGACGTTGGGATCTGGGGACGTTGGGATCTGGGAACGTTGGGATCTGGGGACGTTGGGATTTGGGGACGTTGGGATCTAGAGACGTTGGGATTTGAGAACGTTGCAATCTGAGGACGTTGGGATTTGAGAACATTAGGATCTGCAGACGTTGGAATTTAACGACATTAAAATTGGGGTTATGTAACAACCACGAATTTGGAACAATTGTACTTGCCTCCGTTTCAATTGTCCCATTCTGCATACATCACTCGCGTCAGGTTGTTCATCTCTATGAATACCTCGCTCATAGTCCGAGAAAATGTTATTACCACATACGTGTTAATTAGACATGTCCACCTAACTATCATTGCAGACACGCAGGCCACAGAAACGTGTTTCCCGTTACAGTGGAAGCTCTGTTGCAAGAGTTGTAGTTGTAAGAATATTCGTGGAGATAAGAATTCCAGGAACTTCCGTAAAAGGGGAATTTAATTGAACTTTATTGCCCAACGTTGGATCGAGCTGTCTGTAAATATCCTACGAATTAAAAGTTTTCGACTCGTTACGGTGGCTGTAACACAAATCTTGAAAATGAAAACCGTGAAAGTAGTTTCTATTGGAGTATTTGGTTAGCGAGTCTCGAATGAAATTGAAAATGTAATACGTTGTTTGAACTTTCGAGATGCTGTAACATTGTTAGTAGGATTTAATGTTGTTAGTTGGTCATCTGACACCTACTCTGTCCTGTAGAATGTGTAATCTTGCTTCGAAATTGAAGATGAAGTGCAGAAATAAATATTGTAACAAGAATACACACAATGGAGATAAGTTATCAGATACAATGGAGTGACTTAGGACATGGTATATGTTATTGATAAAAACTTTTGTAAGATAGGAACTTTACTGAGAAATGTAATCTGTCTATTGTTTGGAAATATCTTCGACCATTGCAGTTGTTTCAGAGTTCATTGAAATCTATGCTTCTTCGATATTCTTCTTATCACTAGATTCGTAATTTCTCGCTAAATTAAAAAACTATACAATTTGGAGATGTTGATAGGAGTTTGAGAATTTAGGAATTTGATGATTTGGGAAATTGGAAGATTAAAAGGGAAATTTGAGAATTTGGAGATTTGAGATTTGGAGATTTGAGAATTTGGT